ATTCTATTTTTTTTGAGCCCCTAAACCCTAAACCCTAAACCCTACACCCTACACCCTAAACCCTAAACCCTAAACCCTAAACCCCTAAACCCCTAAACCCTAAAACCTAAACCCCTAGACCCCTATTCTATTTCTTGAGCCCCCTTTAGAGTACCTTTGAAAAAGCATTCCTGGCCAGGCCACCCCCGAGGCACCTCCGACGACCCCGGCGCCTCCGGCTGTTCCGCCGGCTCCAGTGCCGAAGAAGGGAGGCCCAAGAGTTTCTCAGATTCAGTCTTTTAGGGTTTAGGGTTTAGGGTTTTGGGGTGTAGGGTTTAGGGTTTAGGGTTTAGGGTGGGATTTGAGAAGTGAGCGGGGCTATGGTGTGATGCTTGGCTTCGGAGCTTTAGAGGTCTTGGCTGTGCAGCTTGTCTCTTTTTCAACTCATGGGTTTCGGGGTGGGGCTGCTTCGCAGTCGCAGTCGACAGGAGGGAAAAGCATGTGTCGAGGTGCAGGTGATGAGTAGACATGTTCTGGGTTCAATGCACTCCTCTTGCCGTTGGGGTGATTGAGCTCAGAGACTTGTTTTAAGCCGGAGTGTGTTGGAGGCTTGAAGTTTCGGCACTTGGGCTCAAGCATCCGTACAGCCAGTTCTCGAAATCCTTTCAACTCCCAGGCAGACGATGGCATATTCTCCAGTTTCCCAACATCTCATTTTTGCCAGCAGTCTATAGCTCCAGGGTTTTCCGGGAAGTCGGACGTGCGGGCTGGGCATCGGCATCGGGCCTGTGGTGCGGGAGCATGCGGGGCCTGGTGTCAAGAGGCAGTACTCCTAAACCGTAAGCTCTGGGCTCGTTCCTCTGAAGCCAGGACCGCCGTCGCGGCCACCGGCGAACATCGAAGACTTTCTGTGGAACATTGGCAGCAAAGTCAGAAATGGTCATCAAGTCTTTCGGTCATCGTAGGTACGGGTAGAGAGATGAGAGAGAGGAGGGAGCGAGTTTGTGTTTGTTGTGTGAGTCTGTGTTTTCCACCGCTCTCTGCATACATACACATATGCATGCATGCATATATATATATATATGTATATGTGTCTGCGTGTGTATGTCTGGCTTTATGGATACATGGACGTACGGCTGTATCAATGTAAGGATGGGTGTAGGGATGTATGAATGCACGGATGTATCGGTGTGTCGGTGTGTGTCTGTAAGTGTCTAGAACCTTTGGAACGCAACGCTCGCATCCGCAAGATGCGAACCAGCACGACGCAGTACGCTGCAAGGGGACGGGGAAAGAGCCTCAAAAGGAGGGTGGGTGGGGATGCTGCTCACCGCGCACAGGCTTGGGTGCGTGCAGTCACCTCTATGAAACATGCACCTAGACAATCAACTTTTCTTGGCAGAGGCCGGGAGAGCCACAAGCCTTAAAGAGCCTGCCTTTCATGATAAGCCGAAACCCCAGAAACTCTGAGTCGAAGACTTTGAACGTAGAGAGCCCTACTGGGTGTAGAGGTTTATGGTCCATGGCTTTGGGGTTTTGAAATGAGTGACTGTGGGGTTTGTTGTGGGAAACCCATAAACCGTCCAACCCTAAACCCTAAACCCTAAACCCTAAACCCTACGTCCATTCCAAGGAACATGCACAGCCTGCTCCATGCGACGGAAGGTCTTGGGCCCGGATTGGGTTTAGGGCTCAGGGTTTAGGGTTTAGGGTTTAGGGTTTAGGGCTT